TACCACCAAGGTATACTATGAAGGAACCACCAATTACACAAAGTAAACAAGTGTTTTGGACACTTCTAGAGACTGTTTTTCACATAACAAAGGGAGCAGCCAAGATTCCACTTTTTCTCACACTAAACCTCACAAATCATACAAGAAAAGTGGCTAGGGTTATATCTTATATATACTCTAAGGTTAGGTTTTTTGTTGGACCTTTAAGAGGCTTAAATGGGCCAAGATTCAAGCCATCAAATAGGGAATACGACTGGGCTGGGTGTAGCTCATGGACTTGGTTGTTAGGCTTATTTCATTCATCGGCCTATGATTATGAAATAATATTAACCCATATTAACATCAAAACCCGAGATTTATTGAGTATCAAAAACCCAATATGGTTGAATTCACTCCATGCTTCTTGAATTATCATATTTGCACACTTTTGGTTGGACAGTAACTCGACAAATACACGGCATACTTTTGAGTTGCCAATGTATTACCTTCAAAACTTATAGAAGAGTTTTTGGAGGAAGCTACCCTTATTTTTGTTCGGAAAATTATTTTCTAAAAGAGTTTTCTATTCTAGAAGTATTTTTAGAGAAAGTCACATTAGATTAGCTTGCTTTAAAAATTCTTCCAATGAGACAAAGCATTTTTATAATATTAGCCAAGCGAATACAGAAGCAAACTTTTGAATCTCTAAAACTCTTTTTGACTTTTCTAAAGTCATGCCAAATGAACCCTTATAATATATTTAAAACCATGAGTAAGTAATATTTAAAATTTCCTCTTTATCTCTTTTCTAATGAGATTGTGATTTTTCATTTAAATGAAATATTTCTTTTAGTTAAAAGAAATATCATTTAAGCTTATGTAATAATAATCAAATGAAAATATGAAATATAGAGTTTCTTTTGAAACTCTGTGTTTTTAAAATATAACCGTGACCAACTTATTTGTTCTTAAATAATGAGCAAGCAAACACAAATGCATAATTTAAATGCTCCTTTTTATGGAGATTAAAATCAATTTATTATTATTATTATTATTATTATTATTATTGTAGATTTTGATATAAGTGATGAAATGTGTGGTTGAAAAATTGTGAATCTCATGAAATATGTAATCAAAATTAATTGTTGACTTTGACTCTTAGGATTGAGTTTTCTTGGCTTCACTCTAGAGTCTTGGGAAACATCTAGAGTTGTAAATTCCTAAGACCATGATACAGTGTCCTTGACTTTAGATTTTAATAAAAAGACAATTTAAAATATGTTAAGTTCCAATAATTTGTATTTTGATCAATTCGTTCTATTTGCAATCCTGTTGAAATATACCATGAAGTAATATATTTTTTATATTCATTTTTCTCTTATGATAAATAATAAACGTGTTTATGCATATTTATTTATATTTTCTTCAATATTATTTATATTTTTTATGAAGATCAGTCTTCGTTTTTATGAAGATCAGTCTTTGAAGATCTTTCAAGAGATCTTCCGCAACAATTGGTATCAGAACTTCAAGGTTGTGGTTTTAGCTCGTGAAACATACCAAAAACGTCCTGAAATCGCAGCAGAAATCAGATCGAAGCCGTCCAAAAATTGTCAAAATCAGTCTTCGTTTTTTGCATTTTCTGATCAATCCAGAAGGAGTTTGGGAAAATGGAGACCACTGACGTGATGTGCAGGAGGAGGCAAACCCTACAGGACGATGCATGAAGCCCACTCGCAGAGAGAGTGACGGCGCGTTCGGGTGCGTGGAGCCTTTTTAGCGACGGTCTCTTGAGGCAGTTTGTTTCTTACATTATTTCTGACATTTTTCATGTTGAAAGTTTTCGGTTTCAGAGTACGCAGTAGAATCTGGACGGCGTTGTTCTTTGGGCGTTCGGGACTTGATTATGATTTTTGGTTGCTGCAGTTTCCAGAGACTGTAGGACGAATAGTGGTAGTCCTAAAGTGGTGAATTTGTACGTCTTGATATTTATGGACCTTCAGACGTGGTCCGCTCGGTATCATGTTCTTTGCTTTTTATTATTGCTGTTAAAATTAATGTATAAGTTATTTATTTATTTTTCGCATTAGAAGTCATCGTGTGGGATGACGTTAGGTTTGGGGTAACCATTGCTTGTTGCTAGACCTAGGAATTACATGTTAATTACCTTAAATTCTATGTGAATTT